TAGTAGTTTTGGAAGTATGGTCATTTTCACTATATTGGTTTTTCCTACCCAGGAACAAGGGATGTCTTTCCATTTTCTTATATCCTCCTCAATCTCCTTTTTCAGAGTGCTGTAGTTTTCAGTGTAGAGGTCTTTTGCTTCCTTTGTTAGATCGATTCCTAGATATTTCACTTTTTGAATGCTATTTTGAAAGGAATTGTTTCCCTAATTTCTCTCTCAGTGAGTCTGCTCTTTGTGTAAAGAAGGCTATTGTGCAGGTGTTTCGTGTCCACACCCCTCCAACCTGAAGTTCAGCCTTTACGCACTCTGGATAGGGTCTAATTCTTTTTTGTTTGGTTGTTTTTTTTTGGTACTGGGATTTGAACTCGGGTCCTTGTGCTTGCACGGCAGGTGGCGAAACCACTGAGCTAAATTCCTGGCCCAATAGGATCTAATTCTTATTGTTAGGAATTAATCCACTTCAACTGGATGCCACCTGTCTCTAGCACCATTTCTTTCCCCACTGCCTGCAAGGCCTTTTATCTCTCTTGCTGCATGGATTCCCTCCTTGTCTTTTAGGATTTGCTGGCCAGCCAAGATGTGATGTCCTTGTACTGGCAGAAGTCCCAGGCTCCAGGGCCTCTACTTAGGACAGAAACACTGTGGCTTCTGCCTCATTCTGAGGACAAAATCACAATGGCCGAACCTGAGTGGGAAGAATGGCAGCGTGGCCTGGGTGGACACTCTGCATCCCATCTCCTGACCCCCCACTTACACTTGCTGTGGACTGTTGGTCTGGGTCTCTGTGTTTGTTCCAGGTCTGGCACACAACAAGGCCCATAACTACTATGTTTCATCATCTTTTCAGGGCTGATGGGTAAGCAGGGCTATGTTTGGTGCCCTATCAGGGTGTTTAAAAAGTTCTCACCAGTTTTGGGTTCTAGCACTCACTGGAGTTACTTGTGAGTAGTGACATGCTTTTAGCATGGCTTATTTGTGGGTGGGTTTGGATACTACTGTTGGAGTTTGTGGAACATACACCTTTTTCTTCTTTTTGTACAGTTGTGTTATGGTGAATATTGGTTATTGTTTGGGTAAAGCAGAAGTATTTAAGATAGGGTTGGTATATCAGGAAAGTATTAGCCATGCTTCTTCAGAATGATTAATAAACAAAGTGAGCTTGTCATATCGCCAGAACTGTAGTGATAATGAGAAAGGGATTATTGGGCTGCTTTTTATTAATTTTATTAGTGATTAGATCTTTTTGTACCACCAGTTGTACAAGCCGCCCGATAGGATAGTCACGAATGTACCACCAGTGGTTCAAGGCCAGTGCGAATGTGGTAACCAGCTCTTCTCACTCCAGGAAAATTTCAGAAAGCCTGTAAATAGGTTTTGTGGGGCTTCTGGTGTAGCTGCTTGAAGGATGATGTAGGGATGCGTCCCAGGCTGTGGCGTCAGCTCCTGGAAGGCTGCGTCTCCGCCTGCCTCCAGGCATGGCCACCTGTGGTTGGTGCCCGGCCTTCTGCAGAGGCACTTGAGGTGAGCTTCTGAGCCGCCTGGGCCTGGGTTGGCTTTGTTTTAATACACAATTGAAAGCAGTCTAGTCGTCTCCTCAGCCCTGGCAGACAGCCTCCTCATGGGGTTATCTCTAATGGCACATTGGCAGATGTGACCCTGCCATTCCCGGCACTTCCAATGGGCAGTTGGGAGGGTGTGGAACTGTAGGGCTCATAGAGGCAGGGCTGTGACAGGCGGGGGCGTGGGCTGCAGACCCAAGCCTCCTTGGCTCTAGACCTCCAGGGCAGCTCGTCCTGTGCCTTCAGAGCAGATTTCCTGCCGAGCATTTCATCTGTGTTGGAGCTCTGATCCCACCCCTGCTCCAGTGACTGGCAAAGGTGGCTGCTGAGTACAGCACCATACATGTCAGGTGCCCGAGCACAGCCAGTGGTCAAGGCTTGGCTACACATGGTGTTATTTTTGCTGGGAGTGTTTGTTGGAGGGATGTACCAAAGGGGAATGTAACCATCCAACGCCGCATTTCTTCTGTAATCCTGTTTTAGTGTTCCAGCCTTTTCCTTTTACTGCTTTCAGCTCTCTCCCTGTCTCCTGGAGGAGCCACTGATAACAAAGGATGTCTACGAAGTTGCTGTCTCCCTCATTCAGCTGTTTGATGACTTGGAGGTGAAGGAGAGAGGGTAAGAGGCAGTCTTCCTGTGCTTCAGTGTGCGTGTGACTTGAAGCCCTTGTCACTCACTTGAAACTTTTTACAGTATGAAGATGTCACTGCAGCTATCTTTTCAATAGCCACTGCATATATTTTAAAACCAGACTAGTATTTTGGAAGTGTTTTACTGGCAATTTGCATGTAAAGTAGTGAGTCATGCTGAGTGCAGCTTTAGGGTTAAAAGCTAGGATCTGTAGCCTGGAGGAGGAATAGTTTCTCAGACAGATAGATAGCTGTCACATTGCTCCTTGGGGAACTTTACTGCGTTAGTAGAATCTATCAGAAGCCTGTCTTTGCCTTTGTTTTTATTTGTTAGCATGATATATTCCTGACGCTCAGCAGGATTCTCTTGTAGTCCCGGCATTGATTTCTTTAGCTGATTCTTTGAACTTGGGACATGTTTTCCCTTCAGAAGGACAGTTTTAGTTGGAAGTGCTGACTAGAGTCTATAATTTTAAAATATCACACTCTATTACTGAAGTTTTACTGTGCCACTTTTACTACAGCTCATAAATAGCACTTACATTTTAAGGACAACAATGAACATGTAGATTCCACCTCCTCCTGGCAACCAGGACTAGATTATTGGGATGGCTTTTCTCTTATAGGCCTTAGCCATGCGGCCCCACATGAGTCCTTAGTTATGAAATTTAGACTTTTTTTCTTGGATCACTTTCATTCTTGGAAGAGTCTGTTGGTAAATGTTTTCAGTTTTTATATAGCTAAAATTTTCTTTTATCTTTCTCATTCTTAAAACATTTAAAAATTGACCAATAGTATTACAAGTATTTACTGTCAGCTGGGTGTGGTGGTACACGCCAATAGTCCTAGCACTCCAGAGGCTGAGACAGGAGGATCACTGCAAGTTCAAGGCCAGCCTGGGCTACATAGTGAGTTCAAGTCCAAGGCCAGCCTGCACTACAAAGTGAGACCTTGCCTCAAAAGAAAAGTACTGTATGCAGCACAATGGTTTGACATTGTGAAATCACTTAATCTTGCTATTTAACATATGCATTTATCTCATTTTGAAATTTAGTTTTGTTAGATGTAGGTTGAATATCCAGTATCTGAAATGCTTGGAGTGAGAAGTGTTTCATATTTTGGGGTTTTTCAGATTTGAAATATTTGCATAGGCTTTCTGGATGAGCATCCCTAATGTGAAAGATTTTTTTTTTTTTTTTGGTACCAGGGATGGAACTCAGGACCTTGTGCTTACAAGGCAGGCACTGTGCCTCTGAGCCAAATCCCCAGCCCCATGAGCATCCCTATTGTGAAAACACCAAATCCACAATGTTCCAGAATCCAAAGTTTTTGACAGAGACAGGAGAAGTTTGGATTTTGGAGCATTTCAGATTTTCAGGTTAGAGATGCTCAACCTATATAAAGTCTAAGTTGCTATGTACATATCTCCTTATACTTCTTTTTCTAATTTCATTTATGTAACATTATTGAGCTATGCCTTACTATGAGATAGCAGAGTACACCTATTTTTATTGTCTTTTCTATATTTTGATGATATTTTCCCATAATCTTCTGGCTTCTGTTATTGCAGTAAAAAGTCACCTTTTGGTCTGATTGCCCATTCTGGGTAAATCTGTGTTTTTAGTCTGGCCAACTTTCACCTGGATTCTTTATCTTTGATGTTCTACAGCCCACAGAGAGTAGGTGTGGATTCCTTTTCGTGTATCTTGCTTGAGTTTCAGAAGGTTTCTGAGTCTCAGCATTGGTGTCTCTGATGCTACCCAACAGGCTTCTTCCGGTAGCTTTAACACCCACTGATGATCTTGTCTGAGTCCATTATTATATTAATGGTGTTCTAAATTTGCTTTGCTTTCTGTTATTCTGAGATTATTCTAAAAAAGCATTTTCCTCTTTTTGCTAGGAGACTTGGAATACATTCCTAGTACTCAGGAGGCTGAGGCAGGAGAATCACCATGAATCTGAGGCCAGCTTGAGCTGCGTAGTGAGTTCAAGGCTGGCCTGACGTACATAGTGAGACCCTGTCTCAGCAAGCAAAACAAAAACAAAAATATGAATTTCCTCTTATTACTCTGCCCTTTTTTTTTTTCCTTTAAAACATTTTTTGTGGGCTGGGGATTTAGCTCAGTGGTTCTGCTGCTTGCCCTGCAAGCACAAGGACCTGAGTTCGATCCCCTGTACCAAAAAAAAAATTTTGTTAGTCCATGTTTGCAGTGTATAATGATTATATTCATTGTGGGGAACTGACACATGTATGTAACACATCTTAATTATTTTTCCCCTTCTCTATCCGTTTTTAAATTTACTTTCTTTTACCAGCATCAGATTTATTTATTTTATAAGTCCTTTTCAAGTTAATTATGATAAACACAACCAGGTAATAGGCCAGAAATATATAAATTGTGTACAACAATTATATTAAATCAAGGTGCACTTTGGCCATGATAGACTACAATATCCTTTTTGTCTGTTTTCTATTATTTGTCTTTTATTGTTTTCTTTATCTTTCAGGAAGGCGATGGAACCACTGAGCTAAATCCCTGGCCCTATTATATATTTTTAATACATTTCTTTTTCAGTATATTTCCCAAAGCTTGTTTTTAAAAATTTTAAAATTTTTATTAGTACATGTTTACTGTACATAATGATTACATTCATTGTGGGGAATTGGTACATACATAACATACCTAAATTCTTTTTTTTCTTTTTTTTGGTACTGGGAATGGAACTCAGGTCCTCATGCTTGCCTGGTAGGAGCTGTACTGCTGAGCTATATCCCCCACCCATCAATTCTTTTTTTCCCCTTCTCCTTTACACCCTTCTTTAAAAATGTTTTTTTGCCAGCATCAGATTCATTTATCAGTCTCTATCAAATTAATTATCATAAACAGATTAACAGCCAGACTGCCAGTTTTTTGTTTATCTGGGAAAGTCTCTGTTTTTCTTCATTATTAAAGAATAGCTTTGCTGAATGCAGGCATCTTAGTTGAGTTTTTCTTGAGCACTTTGGATATGCCATCCTTGTGCTTTCTGGAATCCGTTGTTTCACTGTGAAGGTGGTTGTTCATTTTATTGGGGTTTCGTTTGTAGGCAGCGTATCATTTTTTTCCTGTTGCTTTCAAAAGTTTTTTCCTGTGTTTGGCTTCCATCATTTGCCACTTTCTGTAGTACTGTGCAGTAGTGGGGCCCATAGCAGGCATTTTCATCATCCTTTTAAAACAGCCGCTTTTGAGCACATGGTAAGACTAGTGACCTCTGGGCAGTTTCCCGAGCCCATTGACTACCAAACTGGCCTCCTTGGCTGGAGGCTCTGCTGTGTGGCCACCTGTGGAAGTGAAAAAGACACCTTTAGGTCCAGAGAGAGAGGTACAATAGGAGTTTAAGGAGCAGGGAAGGAATACTTGAGTCCAGAATAGAGTGTCACTATCCCCACTATCCCCTTAGTGATGGAATCAGTTTGTCATCAGCTGGCTGGGCTGGATCCCCAGGGATGACACTGTGTTTAGGACTTGGGATTGGCCCCCGCTGCAGGGTGTGGTCATCAGTAGCAGTGGCCAGCTCAGCCTTGGATAGGGAAGGTGGATGTTGTTGAGTCTGCGTAAGCCAGAATATTGCTGCCCTGCCACTTTGCATTGTGCAGCCTTTGAGGAACTGGGGAAGGCTAACTAATAGTCACATAGCTGCTAGTCCTTCTGCCCACTGAAAGCCTCCCTTGCAGTGATTGGCTTGTTGTGGGCGTGTCCTTGATGTCCTCTCTGGAAGGCTTGCCCTGGTGCTTCTCTTTCAGATTCCTTGTTATCAGTATTCTAGCTTTGTGGTTTCCAAGTTCCCGACCACCTGGCCCACCTGTTAGCTTCTGCCTGTTGATTGGAGTAGACCCACCTCATGGCCACATCTCCTTCCACGTGAAGTAGGGCACCGGATGTGCTGCTCAGCATCCTCTTGCTGGGGAAGGGCTCTTCTCCAACACCTTTGGGTGGCGCTGTAATGCTGGCTATTGCTAGCATCCCATTCAGGCCCATCCACAAACCAGGCTTGTCCTTTTGACCATCGTGGCTGAGCCAAGGTGGGCTCAGAGAGAGGTGATAGTCCACCTATCACAAGCCTTTCTCCTTTGCAGTTACTGTTCCCAGGCACAGGCTCAATTGTTCTTCCTTGGCTTTGCTGTGGCCGCCTCCTTAGCACCCTACCCACTCCCTCTGAACAGGCACTGTGTGTGTACCCCTCCCCTAGCTCTTTTACTGACTGCTTCTGTTTGCTTCTTTCATGGTCTTCTTGCTGACCCGAAGGGGCCTTGTTGTTCACTTGCTTCTTACCTGTCTCTCCATCTCAGGGCTTGTGGAGGAAGGAGAGTTGCAATTTCACACAAAAATAAATGTACTGATGGTAGCAGGGCAGTGAATGGATGATTTCTGCAAAAATGCTTTCTAATAATAATTTGGTCTCTGACAGGAGTTTGTAGTTATTTTGACTGTTTTCTGTCTGGGGTCCTGGGTTACAGTACCTGAATAACCAGGAAAACACTTACAGCTAGGGTGTCCCCCAGGCGAGGACCTGGAGTCCAGACGCAGGGCCTGAGTGCTGCTGGGGCAGGGTGCGGTCCCCCTGGCCTCGGCTCCTCTATGTGCGTGCCGTGAAAGGTGTCACGTGCCGTGATCTGCAGGAGCTGTCAGGGTCACAGCAGGGTTGGGGTTCTTGCAGTGGAGCAGATGTTCTACCTTTTTTCACTTTTGTGCACCTCACCTTTTGACAGGAACAAGAAATCAGGGGCCCAGTTTGTGTCAGAGAGGAGCAGTGTGTTGGTGTTTTTGCCAGGTATGAATGTCAGGACCTTCTGACCTAGACTGACAGCACTGCCTAGCACCAGGTAGGGAACATGGTATTCTCCACGTCTGTTTTTCCTTTTAGACACTGAGACTGTGAACAAATGTGGCTTTCAGTTTGACTTCTGATTTTTTTTTGTTTTTTGGTACTGGGGATTGAACTTGGGACCTTATGCTTGCAAGGCAGGCGCCAGAACCACTGAGCTAAATCCCCAGCCCCTCAGTTTGACTTCTGACTGTTAACCTTTGCGTTGCCAAAAGGATTTCTTATTGACAATGAGAATCTTTTAGAATCTTTTATTTTTTTTTTTGGTACTGGGAATCAAACTCAGGTCCTTGCACTTGGGAGGCAGGCGCAGTGCCACTGAGCTAAATCCCTGGCCCAAGAGATTAACTTTTTAAAGGTAATCTTGCCACCTTCCAAATTTTCAGTAAGACATTGGACTTTGTTAAACTTGGACTCATTTGTATGGTTATAAATGTGAGGTAATTATTAGTCTACATTAAAGCTTATTTAGTAACAATAACACACGTTGTAATACTATGAGAATAGTCAAGTTAATCTTTGAGTTCCTTTCTCAGTGTGTGAAAAAATAGTCTGTTATACCTTTCTGAAAAGATTAATTTGTGTTAAATTGTACTTTTTTTTTTTTTGGTACCAGGGATCGAGCTCGGGACCTTGTGCTTTCGAGGCAGGCACCGGAACCACTGAGCTAAATCCCCAGCCCTTAAACTGTATTTTTTCAAAATGATTTTTAAATCCAAGTAGTATAGTTCGAAGAAACATGACAGTCTCTTCTGCTGTTGAAAGTTCATGTATAGAAGATATTACCATTTGTGCTTGAAGTGAGGGAGAGCAAAAAGCATGCATCTAGAGAAACATTTACATGTTGGGACACAACATGTGAGTTTCAGATCTCAGGATATGGATTCATTTTTATGTGTAGGAAATAGCCATTAGCTGACAGTGGGGTAGAGTAACATTTGTCTTCATAAATATTTATCAGATGACTACTGTGTGCATAATGTTACTGTAAGGAAAAGAATCACCAAAGCAGAGCCCTATTGTTTCTCACTTAAAAATACCTAAAATGAGATAAACACCTTTCCCCCACAATTCTGGGGAGCAAACCTAGGGCCTTCACACTGAGCTAAATCCCCAGCCCTTTAAATTCTTCTTTTTTTTTTTTTCCTGGAGACAGGATCTCACTAAGTTGCTTAGTTACTCAGGCTGGGCTTGAACTTGTGATCCTCCTGGCTCAGCTTCCCAGAGTACTGGGATTGCAGGTGTGTGCCACCATGCCCATCTTGAGATAAACACTTTTTGTTTTTTGGCACCAGGGATTGAACTTGGGACCTTGTGCTTGCGAGGCAGGTGGCAGAACCACTGAGCTAAATCCCTGGCTCGAGATAAACACTTTAAACTGCTAAATATAGACTGAAAAATATTTATGAGTGGTATTTTAATTTAGGTTTGTTATATTTTTATTATATGCTTATGTAAATCCAAATTTATCATGTATTTATGTATTTCACTAAGTGATCTTGGGAACAGTTCTATGTTAATTTTCTAGGGCTGTTATAAAAAGTACCACAGGGCCAGGGATTTAGCTCAGTGGTTCTGGCGCCTGCCTCGCAAGCGCAAGGTCCTGAGTTGGATCCCTGGTACCAAAAAAAAAAAGTACCACAAATTGGATGGCTCATAACAACAGTGACTCATTTTCTCACGTTCTGGAGTCCAGATGCTCCACATTGAGGCTGTGCTCCCTTCGAGGCTTTGAGTGCACCCCTTCCGGCCTCCAGTGGTAGCCATCAGTTCTCTGTGTCCCTTGGCTTCCAACTGCATCATCCACATCGGTGCTGTGTCACTTGGCATCCTCTGTGTCTTCCCCCCTCATGAGGACAGCGGACCTGCAGGACTGAGGGCCACCCTGCTCCACCTGACCTCACCCTAACAATTGCATCTGCAGTGGTTGTTTCCAAATAAGGTCACCTTGTGAGTTACTGGGTTGGGACTTTGACTGTTTTTTTGAAGTATGCAAAAAAAGTTTAGCACATAACGTAATGAAATATGATAACTTGGGAAGAGGCACAAGTACATACAGATGTTATATGCCAAATGTACATTTTTAACCTAATAAAAAAGATTTATTGTGTCTTTACTACCAGTCATATATATACACACATTTCATATATATACACACATATTAAATGTGTATGCATATGCATATTATATATATGTACGTGTACATATAGAGAGATACACAGAGAGAGAGAGAGAGAGACCACCAAAAAAATGTGTATGTGCTTCAGTAGTTTGCCATACTAATAACTGTCTGGAAGCTCACAGCCACCACTTTACACACCTCTCGTAATCATAGAGGGCAAAGGTGTCTTGTATTAATCTCATGATGTCTCAGTAAATTTAGTATTAAAGTATTTATACAAGTTTTTCTTTTCCTGATGTGCACTTTTTTTTTGGCGGACTCTATATATCTGGTGGTCATGCATGTGGGTGTGTGTGTATTTGTTGTTGTTGTTGTTGTTGTTTCCAGGGCCTCACGTGTACTAGGCAAACACTTTACCACTGAATTACACCTCCAGGCCCAAAATATTATTTTTGGATCAGAAAGATTTTGCACATTGTAAAAAATCTGGAAAATCTGTGGAAAGAAATTAAAAGTGCTCATGCATCCAACACCTATCTGTAATCACTGCTGCAGAGAGGAAAGCACTGGAGGAGTACGACTTTCTCTGTATTCTGAGTTACTAGTTAATGTCATTGTGCATTTTTACTTAAAATTCTGATATACTTAGGCAAAAAGGATAAAAAATTCAAATAAAATGAATTGATGAGGGGCCGGGGATGTAGCTCAGTGGTTCCGCTGCCTGCCTCGCAAACGCAAGGTCCCAAGTTCGATCCCCGGTACCAAAATAAATAATAATAATAATAATAATTGATGAGGCCCTCTTGGAAAAAGATGTCATTTCAAATTAGAAGTTGATTTTTAGCCATAAATACAAATCTTTTTTCCCCTCAGGTCTAGGTGAAATCAACTATATGCATGGACTTCTCACGAACATGGTTCACAAAAGGTATGCTTAGAATGATACAGCTTTATTGTTACTTTAGACCATTACATCCTTTGTTTTATGTAATTTAATTATCTTAGTGAATAATTACTTGCTTTTTACATCTCATGTGTATTGTATGATATTTTATTTTAGTAATTTGTTTCTTAGGTTACAGGTCTATCCACTCCATTCCAGTGTGACTTTAGAAGAACAAAATAATATATTTTTAAGTCCAGTCCCTGGGTACAGAAAGGTAAGAAGGCTGGGAAGACAAGTTCTAAGCGTTTTAGATAACTTTCCTTGGAGACTATGCTTAGGAAAGATGCTTCTCTCAGTGTAGTTACGACTTGTGGTGACTTACACAAATACTTGTTGGTGAGCTGGCTGTTACTTAGCTGTGCTTTATTTTATAAATCAGTTTGCTAAAAAGTGAGATTCCTTTTATTTTCTTAACTCAAGGTGTTGTTGCTCATGGGTTTTGATGCCTTTGCATTATTCTTTGCCATCTCTCAAGCTTTGGGGCTATCCTGGTGTCCCTGACACTACTCTGGTGACTTCAGTTAGAAGCTGTGGTCCAAATCCTGCCTATGGGGGTTTCTAACTTAATCTCAGGAAGGCTGTGTGTGACTGTTGTGTAAATGTTGGAGTTGTCTTTTCTCCTATCCTTCAAAGCTGCTTGAGGGGATCAGGGACCAGGGCCCTGAGCTTGAGGCCCAGTTTCTGATTCTGGGAGGTCTAGAATCTAGGAGTAATGTAGACCTTGGGTGGCATTCCAGGGCACTCACAGTTTCAGCCCTTGCTGTGGGTTTGACCTGGTAGTGCTTTTTGCCCCTGGTAATTCCAGGACCCTCCCCAATACTTCCATAGCAGGGTCGGGAGCAATTCCTTGCCCTGTATGTTGCCTGCTACTCTCAAGCATCTACTGTGTTGTGCGTGGCTTGTTTTTCACCCATCAGGGGCTTCTGAGTCAATTGTGATCTGGATAAAATAGGAAAAAGGCTAATATCAAAGTTTAATCAAGTTTAGTATTTACACTAAGAAACTTTTAAATAATTTTCAAGATTGAGGGTTTTTTTTGTTTTGTTTTTTTACTCTGCCTAGCAATGTCCAGACCAGATGGATGATGTGAGCTTCTTTTCTTTGATATTTGACAGATCATCCTGTCCACCAACATTGCAGAGAGCTCCGTCACTGTTCCAGATGTTAAGTATGGTAAGATCCCTCTCAGCCGCCTCCCCATACTACGTCATTGGGAATTGTCCCTTTCCTCCTGGCCCTGTGTTGGAGGAGAAACTGTGGGGAATCCTGTCAGCTCAGCACATGCTTCTGTGAGCAGCCACTTCCCTTGTCACTGGTGGGGCTGATCTCAGGTTGAGTTGGAGGCCTTCCTAGGGGCCTATGGTGAGCAGAACTTTGGGGCTGCCAGGGGGAGTTCTGTGGCTGAAGCAGGCAGTGTTGGGGAGGAGCCCGGGTAATTCTGTTCCTGGAGGTAGTGTGGAGAGGTACTGTGCAGCCCTGGAGCCAGCAGTGCACCATCTAGTCCTCTGCATGTGGTCCTTGAGAGCTGGGGGTGAACCACTAGTGAGTCTCCTCAATTCACTCATCTTGCTTGAAAGCTGGACATGTGGCGAGGAGTTTAGGGTTGAGCAAGACCCAGTCCCCATCCTCATGGTGACGCATTCTGGTGGAAGAGACAGATGATTGGCAGGAAACAAAGGTGGTTTCAGGCAGAGACGAATGTTAAATCAGAAAGAAAGTCAAGGAAAGGGCTGGCATTATAAAGGAAAATGGTTACATAGGCTGATGTGGGAGTGTGTCCTTGAGGGAGTGACCTTTGAACAAAGACTTGCATTGAGAAAGTGAGCTCCGCTGGGTGCAGTGGTGCACACCTGTACACCCAGCTCTTCAGGAGGCTGAGGCAAGAGAATCACAAGTTCCAGGTCAGCTCAGGCAACGTTGTGAGATTCTGTCTCAGTGTTTTAATAAAAGGGCTGAGGATGTAGCTCTCTGGTGGACTTGGCCCTCCTCCCCACCTGGAGCGGGGCCCTGGCTTCCATCCCCAGTATTTAAAGGGGGAGAAAAAGGCAGTGAACTATGCCAAAGTGGGGTTCAGACCTAGGGAACAGACCACAGCAGCACGGAGGCAGAGGGCTGAACTGGGAAGGGAGGCTAGCAAGTTTCCACAGAACGGCCGAGTCTGTGCTCAGGACACGTCCAGGGACAGATGTGGGTCGGGTAGAGGAATGAGATCAGTTCATGTGTGCAGTGCGTTCAGCGGTGGTGCAGCTGAGTAGAGGGAGGGGAGGGGAGGAGATGGAGTGCTGGCAAGGGCTGTGACGCCAGCGCTGGAGTGGCTGGGAAAGCTTCTCCCCGGGACACGGGGACACGAGCCAGGTCCTGCTGGGCAGGGGGTGTGGCATGTGGCTCTCTGAGGAGGAGGTGAGGTGGAGGAATGGAGAGTCCAAGGGTGCCTACAGGAAGAGGGTGCTTGGTGCCCTCAGTCAGCAAGGAGATGAGGCCAAGCCAGGGCGGGAAGGGTGGAGAGGCCAGGGCCTGGGAGGCCCTGTGCCAGACTGCTGCCCTGAGCGAGGCGGGGAGCCATTCAGGTTTTGAGAAGGGACGCTGCGTAACCTGAAGATCGTGTACAGCATCGCTCTGTGGACAGAGTACAATGAGGCAAAGGAGAGAGAGGAGAGGAGTTGGAGGGTGCAGGGCGGTCCTGCCAAGCTGGGTGAGAACTCATGGCGATTTAGATTAAGGCTCTGGAGTCACGGTGGCCCTGGAGGTGCCTGTGCCTGCCGGGTGAACTAGAAGCCTTGGCCCTCAGTGGAGAGAGGTGGAGAAAGCGCAAGAGGCTCCAACAGAAGACATGGAGTAGACACATGCAGGTGGCGAGCTACCGAGAAGGAAGGGCCAGTTGTGTTTTCCTCTCGTCACCACGAGGGCTGTACAGGCCACATGGGCTGGATAGAGAGCTGTTAGACGCTCAAGCACAGTGGAGGCAGCAGGGGGCTGAGCTACATGCACCATGTCCCCTGGACTTGCAGTTGGGTGGCCAGGAAGGAAGTGGGGTGGGGCTGAGGGGCCGCTGACAAATGGGGACCTTGAGGTCGCAGGACAGAGTGCCAGGAGTGCGGGTAAGGGAAGAAGAGTTCTGGCTCCCAGAGGGTATTTGATTGACACTGTGGTGGGGGTCAGGAGTGCTGTTTGGATGGGGCTTGATAAGAAGAAGTTGTTAAAACAGGTGGGAGGCCAGGGTGTTGGAAAGGAGGGCTTTAAAGCCCCAGGGAGTTGCACGTAGCTGGCACTGTTTTCATGGGCAGTGAAAATGTGAGGACTGGTGTTGGAAGAGGACCAGGGAGCTGCAGGCTGGGGTGGGGCATCACATAGCACAGTCGGAGGAGGGTGGTGCAGTGAGCACGCAGTGAGGGCGGAGGCCAGGTGGCTACGTCAGATAGCCATGTTGCCTGCTCTGCCGGTGCCTGACAGGCGACCCTGGAGCACAGAGGCAGAGAGAAAGACAGACACAGACACAGAAGGCCCTTCTTAGGGTACGCGGGGTGTTAGGGGTTAGGCGTTCTTTGTGCCCAGGGACTCCCAGTGTTTAGCAAGAAAGAGACCTTGGCTTCCCTGCTCTGGGCAGTTAGTGCATTTCCAGAGGCTCCTGCATGCACACTGCTTCCCAGGCCTGTATGCTCATGTTGTTTTATCACTGGGCTTTGTGATTTATTATACAGCAGTCTCTTCTGGTGTTAGCATGCTGTTTACATTCCTTTTTTTCAAATGACAGTTATAGATTTTTGTCTGACTAGAACCCTGGTTTGTGATGAAGATACAAATTATCAGAGTCTGCGATTGAGTTGGGCCTCTAAGACCAGTTGTGACCAGAGGAAAGGTAAGATGTCTGGTGAAGCACACCGAGGACTTCAGGTGACACAGGGCACAGGCAGTGTCTTTTAGAAACTCGGCTTTACATTTTTACTCTTACTCATGTACTTTACTGGGGCCAGTTTGAAATTTAAACCTCAACATCTCATGTTGTCAGAGTGTCCTTTAACTCCACGTTTCCTCTTCCAGTGTATTATGTGGCATCCTTGAGTATAAGGGACGGATACCCTGTCATCTCAACATGCGACCTGCCTCTCACTCACTTCCTGGCCCCTGACCCCCAGAGTCTCGTCCATGTAACCTTGCATGGTCGCAGCACCTTGTCCACCTCTGTACAGTGAGTCTCTCCTGTGGCCACACCTCAGTATCCACCTCACAAGAGAGCACAGACATAACAGAAGGAGTATAACACTGTTTTCAGTGAGATTTAAAATTTAGGGGCATAGATAGGAAGCCAGATGCATCCCTTCCTTAAATTTGGCAAGCCTGGGGCTGGGGATTTAGCTCAGTGGTTCCAGCACCTGCCTCGTAAGCACCAGGTCCCAAGTTCGATCCCCAGTATCAAAAAAAAAAAAAAAAAAAAAATTGGCAAGCCTTCTCTCCAAGTTTTGGTGATTCTAGGGTATTTTTCCTAAATGGGCTCCACAGTGGGCTCAGGGCTTGCTTTGTCATCTGCATGTATCACTCAGCAGAGGGGAAGGTGTGGGGTCGATTGGGGGGAAGGATGCTTGGGCTGCAGTGGAGGTGTGTTCATGGCATGGCGGGAGGGATGTCGTGCTGCTCTGTGGCATCAGCATTTGGGAATGTGCTGAGAAGCAGTTGTGTTTTCTTAGAGGACCTTCTGGAGGGAAGGTACAAGACCATTCTGAGTGGAACTGTTGAGAAATAGAGCTACTGCATCAAAAAATAAAGCAATATTTGTAAGTGCTTACAGTACAGCAGACACTGTTGTAAGTGGTTTATTTCCTCAGCCCTTATAACAAGCAAGAGAGGAGTGCACAGTATCTTTATTAACTGCCTTCTGAGATGCAGGGAAGTAGTAATTGCCCGGTGTCCTCCTGCAGAATGATGGGACTGAGATTCGGCCCAGTCATCTACTTCAGTCCTCACTCTTGAGCACTTTGCTGCATTGCCTCTCCTGAACAGCCTGTCCAGAGAGGCTGTGGTAGAGGCGCTGCTCCAGCTGGGCCTCGAGGGCCTGGACCAAGCTGGGCATCATCACACAGATGGAAAGGAGCGTTAGGCTCAGACTATCCCACCATGTCTCACCTGTGGCCCTACCCTGACCCCCAAAATATGCTTAGAAAAACAATTAGAAATAAATATGCAAAAACATTAAAAATAATTTATGGGGCCAGTCTTGGGATTATCCTTTTCTACATTTTTATATGTTTAAAAGTTTTATAATTAGAAAATGTTTATTGTGCAATTTTTCCTTTATAGGAGGTGGCAAGAACAGGGCAGAGTCCCTTGAGTGCATGTAGACACCTGCACGACACCACTGGAGTGTAGGCCTCGTTCAGTTGCACTCACGCTAGTGTGTACAGGTCTGTGTGATCGAAACAGAACCCTTGCACTGCTGGGAAGGGCCTGCCTCACACTACTCCTGTGCTTCTCTGTGTAGCCCTGGATTCTGCAGTTCTCTTTTGTATACCCTCCTGTCTTTTTTTTTTTTTCTTGTACTGGGGATTGAACCTAGGGCTTTGCACAACCTAGGCTAGTGCTCTACCACTGAGCTACATCCCCAGCCATTTTAAAAAATATTTTCAAATTTTGAAACAGGGTTTTGCTGAGTTGCTTAGGCTGGCCTTGAATTTGCAACCTTCCTGCCTCTACCTCCCAAGTAGCTGGGATTGCAGGTTTGCACTATTGTGCCCAGCTCTCTTGTGTCTCTTGTTGCAGTTTCATAGTTTTCACTTAGATCCAGGATCTGTTTTGCATCAATTTCCACTTCAGTGAGTTGAGTAATATGGTGTGAGCTTTAGCTCAGGATTTGTTTCTCTGCTTGTGGATGTCTAGTGGCTCTGCACCACAGAACCTTCCTTCTGTTATGTCTGTGCTCTTTTGTGAGGTGGATACTGAGGTGTGGCCACAGGAGAGACTCACTGTACAGAGGTGGACAAGGTGCTGCAACCATGCAAGGTTACATGGAAGAGACTCTGGGAGTCAGGGGCCAGGAAGTGAGAGAGAGGATGGTCACGGCCATGGCTTTCCTTAGGGTTTCTGGGGAAAAGACAAGGCACGATGGGCAGATAGCTTAGTTGGCAAGTGTTACGGTTTAGATCTGAAATTTGCCCCCGAAGTCTCAGAGGTGGGGCTTTTGGAAGGTAATTGGATCATAGCAACACTGACCCACTGATGAGTTCTTAGCTAAATGTGCTATGTGCCTTTGGAGGGTACCCCCCACCCCCTTCTGTCTCTCAGCTTCCTGGATGCTGTGAGGTAAGCAGCTTTCCTCTGCCATATTCTGCCTTGGAGCCAAACAACCACGGACTGAATCCTCAGAAATGTGAGCCAACATAAATATTTCTTCCTTTAAATTACAGGTGTTGAGTATTTTGTCCTAGTGGTGGGAAACTGACTAATACAGAAAATTAATACTGAGAGTTGAGTTGTTGCTGATTGTGTGGTTCAGTAGCCTTTGGAACTGGCCTGTGGGAGGAGTTTGGAAAGGTTTGGAGGTGACAGCTAGAGTGCCTAAAATGCTGTAAGCAGAGTAAGCAGAGATTGTTAGGAGATTTGGGCAAGAGCTCAGAAGACCAAATGCTGATAGGAATGTGGATAATAAAGTCCACAGACTCCTGAGGTTTCAGATGGGAACAAGGACTCTACTGGAAAATGGACCAGAGGTCATATGTGTATCATTTTGGCAAAAAATTTATCCACCTATGTTTTGCCCATGTCCTAAGACTTTGTGTGAGGCTGAATTTAAAGGTAGAGGACTAATTGAGCTGGCAGAGGAAATTTCAAGCCAGCTCAGTGTTCAGGCTGTTGCATGGGTATTGCTGGTACTTTTAGTCAGATTTTTAGTGAGAACTGGGAGCAAATAGTAAAGCCAAAAGATGTAAAATATTTGCACTTTCACCAGAAAGTGCCTGTAAAGTTGGGGCTATGGAAAGCATGGTTACTGAAAAGATTGGCATTAAAAAGAAGCCAAGTGGGCTGGGGATTTATCTCAGTGGTTTTGTCTCCTGAAGCACAAGCACAAGGACCTGAGTTCGATCCCGGATACCAAAAAAAAAAAAAAAAAAAAAATGAATGACAGTCAAATTATTCAAGTTATTTTGAGGTGAATTTTAATACAGTGTTTACAAAGGTGAGGGAGAATGTTGAGGAACTGAAAAAGAGACAGACACAATGGGCAAGAGGAGAGAGCAGTTACCAGAACTGAGTAAGGAAGTGTTGTATGGGAGGCCTGACAGGTTCTGTGACAGGATCCAGCTCATCATGGGACGAGCCCATGGATAACTACCCTGACTTCCCTCTCTTTGATGTCTTCTTGGTACTCTGCATGTGGTCCTGCTGGTGTCCTTCATATAAAGTCAGCTTCTAGGGACAGAGAGCAAGGTGGACTCAAAAGACAGTGGATCCATGGTGGCAATGGGAGATCCAACCCCAGAACACCCTGGACACGGGGGATCCAAAGGAGACTTCAGGATGATTTCTAGAATTGTAGTGTAGGACACAGAGTTGAGGGTGAACCCATTGACTGGCATAGGGAAGTACAAAGCAGATCAGTTTTCATTACATTTTTGGAGAAGAGAAGCTTGGAGAAAGTGAATTTAGTTTTGGAGATGCTGAGTTTTGGGTTGAGAGGATTTCACTTGTTCACTCAGTAAACTTAAGGCAGGATATTTTTGTGATGAAAGAAAACTATTTATTGTATGAACAGTCATTCTATCTCCTAGGAGAGTTCCACAGCAACAATTTCTTAGATTTTTAGATAGTACCAGTGATCTTGAAGATCTTTCCAAATCACTGAAAAAGTCTAAACTGCTCATTGTGTTAAAATAAGACTATAGGCAAACATGTTTCTATAGAAATGATTAAACTCAAATACATTTTATTGGTTAAATAACATCAATTTAACACGTCATATTGAGTTGAAGTATGATGAAATGGAAGAAGGTAGGTTTGAGCCAGACACACTTAATTAGCATATGAACCGTGTAATCTACTCGCTGTGTATCATTGGGCAATGAATACAAGTAATACAATTTCTCTGAATCTCAATTTACTATTTTGTACATGGGGATAACACTTTATTTGTCAAAAGTCCCTGACACAGGGCTGGGAATGTAGTAGAGGTACAATGAGGTTAAACCAAGTTTAAAAACTCCCATTCAAAAGGAGGTTTGAGTTACAAATAATTTTTAGTGCTGGTTATCAGTTCACTGGTTAAAACATATACAATAACTTTGGCTGAGGAATCCATTTTTAGGTTCTCTGTTTGTGATATGCTTATAGACATTTTTATGTTACCCAGTCAAATGCCAACTGTCCATTCCCCATAAAATTGGGAGACAAGTAAATCAGCTGTTTACTAATTAATTTTTCCCCAAGAAATAATTATAGTCAGGTAAAATGTATTTTAACTATTAAATGGAATAAACTTTCTGGAATTATAACATCCCTAATTTCTCACACTCAGTTTGCCAAATCATGACAATTCTTTTGGGTGTTTTTATAAGCTTAGTGAGTTTAAGGATATGTTAACTTTTACTCCGCTATCATTAACTTGTCCAGTAGCATGAGATTGATTCAAGAAAGTTGTTGAGATTATGAAGATTGTTGGGATTAATTCTGTAGATGAGAAAGGCATAAGCTTTCCAGCATTCTACTGTATACTTCACTTTCATCAGCAAGTAGACTAATTCACTAAGTCTACACACCCAATATTTTTTATGATGTAATTAGTGTGACACTTAAAGACATGAGAGACACTAATTGTCTTAGATATTTTGTCATTACAATATATTCCTTTTTTAGGTCATCATCATTCATCTTTGGTAATTCATATGTATCTAGGAATCTGTCCATTTCTTTTGTGTTCTCCATCTTATTGGTGTATAGGTTCTCTATAGGTACTGATGATCCTTGGATTTCTGCTGGATCTGTTGTAATTTCATCCTTTTCATTCCTAATTGCATGGAGTTGGGCCTTTTCTTTCCTTTTTCTGATAAGGTTGGCTAAGGGTTTGTCAATTTTGTTTATCTTTTCAAAGAAACAACTCTTGGCTTCACTGATGTTCTGTATGGTTGTCATAGTATCCATTGCATTGATTTCTGCTCTGATCTTTATAATTTCCTCCCTTGTCTTTTTTCTTGGATTCTTCTCCTTTGCTTTAATTCTTGTCATGCCAGATGGATTCATTCTGTTGGACTTCCTTGGGTTGTGATCCTCATTGTTTATTCCTCGGATATTGTCTAAAATTTTTTGGAGTGCTGGTTTGATATTCATGAAGTTCCTAAGGTGCTCTTTGTCATGAAAGTATCTTATTTCTCCATCAATTTTGAAAGATAGTTTT